GTAATAGGCAGTTAGAGGTAGTTATACTGTTACTAGTCAGTCTCTCTCTCTGTACAAGAACAAAAAGGAAAGCCACTGGTTTCAATGATCAATTCAATTCAGTTTTGACAGTTTACAATTTCCTTCTTTGCTTCTTGATTCTCCTCTTCACTTCGCAACAGAGACAAACTCCGCTGAGCCCTCACAGGCAGCTGGAGGGAGATCAATCCATTGTCTGGTGAGCGGATTGGAGACATAATAATCAATTTCGCTGGTAAGGGTAATAATGTTAATGCAAGAGCATAAGATTAAGTCCGCAAAGGAGCCCTCCAATCGAAGTTTGTGAAGGTGTGTAGGGGAACATGGGAGATAACTTAAACCGAATACACTTTCTCCGTACACCTTTCGTAATAAAGAAGAGTTGGAGATGATTTGGAAACGAGATTGGCATTGGTCGCAGCCGCCAGAGTATTGGGTGCAGTTACAACGATAAGCAAATCGGAAAAGAAGGCTTGACTCAACATCTGTATATGTATGATGGTGACGGAAGCGGGCAATAAAGTAAGGAGAAGAGATGAGAGAATACCAGCGCTTGGAAACCGCTTGGAATCGAACGGCTGCTGTTGTGGGTAGGTAGTCTTACAAGTATCTCGCCCAACAATTCGTCGCACAATTTGTTGTTGGATTCATGATTAGCCTGAAACACAAAGAGCTAATAACGCCTCCACTGAGGCTTGAACTCACAACCTTCCTAATGGAAGTCCAACCCGGGTACCATTGGACCACATAGTCCTGGTGGATTCATGATTAGCTAATTTACTCTGCCCACACGGAATTAGAGCCGCCATTCTAACCGGTCGTCGGTGGAGTTAAGCTGCTTTTCTATTTCTATAATAAAGCTTCAAGATTTTTGCTTTTTTGCCGCAAGATCAGATCAGATCACAGTTTTCAACTCTGCACCACCGGAGAAAATGAAACTTTCATTAAACAGTATTCTCAGTAGTGGGTGTTATGTTAGTTGCTTTGCTGTTTGTCTCCATTTCTAACAACCATTTTGATATTTTCCAAAACATAGCATATAATAATAGGTAACAACCATTTTGATTATTATATCAGCCACTAGCTAATTACTCTATTTCCACCACTAGCCGACAAGATTGCTAAAATAATTTATTCTAAAACTATCCACGTACATCTTTGCAATATTCCCTCACTTTAAATAATAAGTCGTATCATATTATCACTTTTTTTTATTATTAATAACAAAAAGTCAAAATCATATTTGAAACTCGTGCAAGGCTTTCATTATGTACCAACCATTTTCCGAAAAATATTTGCATAAGTGTGGGCGTGTGGCGTAAAAGTGTAAAACATATTTCATTATCAATTATTAATCAATTTAAATACTTATTACTACACATGACATTATAAAAACTAATGATTCTTTACAATGTAATATGGAGTATGATGGGGTATGGACCCCGGTCCAAGAAGAACAAGCCCAAAAGGTGAAGTCCAAAAAGGATGGAAGAGCCCAGAACGAATAAGGCACGGCTCAGTGGGTGAAAGTTTGGACCAGCAGCAGGGTCCGACAGAGGCCTGGACCGAGTCCAAGAGGCGGCCCAGGCCCAGGGCAGAGTGAGGACTCGGCGAGAGCCGTTGCACGGCATTTATAGCGGCATTTAAAGGGTTCGACCAGTGAGCCGTTTAGAGGCCCAAAAGAGCCGTTGGCCGGCCTGGTAACGGCACCCAACGGCCTTAAAGCATAATTAGCACTTAAGGACCTTTTAATGTGTTTTTAATTCGGTTTAATGGAGGGCCTACTATATAAAGGCCCTTCCATGAATATAAAGAGGAGGTTGAGACCCAGATAATAGAGAGAGACACCATTTTCCTACTTCTGTTTATTACTTTCCATTTCTATAGATTTTTATTGAAAGGTGAATTCACCGACCTAGGTTGTGTTGGACTGCCCTGGGCCCAAAAAATCCTAAAACCAACACTGGCGCCGTTCGTGGGGATCGAAACAAAGAGTCACGTCTGTTCTTGAGCAGCCGGGTTCACGAGAAGAACAGAGATAGTAAAAAAGAGAAGAGAACTTTGCGACATGTTGGAAGGATGAAGCCAGGCCTTCAACCGTAACCGCGAGCCTGAGGCCGATTTGAGGGAGCAGCTGAATCAACGGAACGCGCAAAGTCAAGAAAATGATTCGGCACCCCCGAATCAACCCCCGCCAATGATACCTCTCACCTCGAACAGCTTCGGGCCATTGGACGGGCTATCGTTGCTGAAAACCGGGAAAGAGGAGAACAGTCGACTTCACGACCACCGCCCCACAAACGACAACCGCCCCAGAGGTCGGAAGAGGGTAGACAAGGAGATCGACGAGCGGAGAACTTGCCAGCGCGATCGGTCCATTTGAGGCTGGGCTCGAACGTCACGCGCCAATCAGTGAGAGAGCGACGGGGGGAAAGAGAGCACAGTCGCGCACCGGTGAATCAAAATCAAGAGACCGCCCGAGAGAGAACCCATACCAAAAGGACTAGGACTCGGGCAGGACAGTCTGAGCGACCCACTCGCAACAACGATCGGCCGACCGAATCGAAAGTCGGCGAAAGTACTGAGTCCACGGGGAACCACACTCGGAACGCTGGTGACGTGGCTCACCTGGCTCGGGAACTGCGAAACCTGAGGGAGCAAGTGGAGGGTAGGACCAAGTCCTCTGGACGAACGTTGCTTACCGCCTTGCCTTTTTCGACCAAGATTATGACTTACAAAATACCCGGCGACTTCAAGTTCCCGGAGCAGGCCACTTTCGACGGATCTGGCGATCCGCGGGAGCACCTTCTAAGCTATCAGGCTAAAATGCAGGTTTTGAGAGTCCGAGACCCTATCATGTGTCGCGCTTTCCTGCCAACACTGAAGGGCTCGGCGCAGAGATGGTTGGTGGCTCTGCCCCCGGGGTCGATCCACAACTTCGAGGAGTTAGCGGATTGCTTCATGAGCCATTACGCGGCCAACATCAAACCACAGAAAGATCTGACCCATTTGGGAGATGTCCATCAAGAGGAGGGCGAATCTCTCAAGATCTATCTGGCCAGGTGGCAGAAAGAGATTCAGTCCATTGAGGAGGTCGAGGACCAGACCGCCCTCACCTTCTTCATCGAATCTTTACAATCCGGGCAGCTATACCGTGACCTACGGGACAACCGGCCAGCCACCTACGCGGAAGCCATACATATGGCCAACACAGAGCAAGCCATGAAACACAAGCGATAGCGAGAAGTCGGAAGATCCGTTAGCGGAAAGCGAACCCACGGAGAAACAAAGGAAAGGCGCCCGGAGCCAACTAGGCGACCTGAGGCGCGGCGCCCGTATGACATGCCTAGCATCCAGCCTTATCGGCCGATTCCCCAGCATCCAATGCATGAGGTGCAAGCGGTCGCGCCTCCTCCTAGTGAGGAGCGCGCAGTGAACGAGGACCCAGGTAAGACATCTAAATACTGTCGCTATCATAAGTTGTACACCCATAACACAGAAGAATGTTATTATCTGAAAAGGATCACGGAGGGAATCATCCAGCAAGGAACCCCGCCTCCCAACCAGTGGCGGAGAAGGTCGGCGACCAAGGAAGACAGCGACCCCCAGGGGCGGTCAAAGGCAGTCGCGGCAAACAGCCGGCGACCGATGAAGGCGAGACCCAGTGGAGGCAGAAGCCGGTTATCAATATGATAGTCGGCGGACCTGAGGGGGGCAACTCCGCGAACACCAGGAAAGCCTGGGCCTGACAATCGTACGTAGGGACAGTGTACGGGCGAGAGGGTGGCTCGAAGAAAGCCTGCCGAGAGCCTATTATTTTCACAGACAAGGATCTACCCACAGGCGAGACACCACATCGCGATGGACGTGAATGGGGTAGTTGTCCGGCGAATCCTAGTAGTCACCGGGAGTAGCGTCAACGTCTTGTACCTCGAGACCTTCGTCAAGATGGGACTATCACGTGAACAACTGATCCCAGTCAAAACGCCACTCGCCGGCTTTACGGGCGACTCTGTGGAGGTTGAGGGATCCATCACCCTGCCGGTGGAAATCGGCAGCTACCCCGACGTACAGAAGCTGGACATGAAGTTCATTGTGGTCAACTTGGCGTGTTCTCACAACGCGATACTCGGCCGACCGGATTTAGAAGATTTGGGAGCATTGATCTCCATCGAGCATCTCTGCTTGAAGTTCCGCACGCCGAGTGGGGTGGGTACGGTCCGTTGCGAAAGGAGAGTCGCCCGCGACAGAGCCATGGGCAAGCGTGAAATGCAGGTCCATGAGATCACAGATCAACCTCTAAAGAAGACAATGATACCCCGACCGGAACCGGCCGTAGAGTTGGAAGAGGTCGAAATTGATCCTGAGCGACCAAAGAGACGAGTCAGAATCGGAATCGGCCTTCGAGAAGAGGTGCGAGAGGAAGTCATAAGGGTATTGCGAGAGAACCGCCTGGTCTTCGCGTGGGGGCCAAAGGATATGCCGGGAGTAGACAGGTCTATCATTTCGCATCGGCTCGCTGTTGACCCCGATCATCGACCTGTGATCCAGAAGAAGCGATATCTAGCCAACTATTGAAGGCAATTTGTGAAGAAAGAGGTAAACACGCTGTTGGCCACAGGCCACATCTGGGAAGTTATCCAGAATGGCTAGCTAACGTGGTGCTCGTGCCAAAGCCCCCGGCTTGGCGAATGTGTGTAAACTACACCGACCTCAACAAAGCTTGCCCGAAGGGCCCGTTTCCATTACCTCGGATCGATCAGTTGGTTGACAAGACGGCAGGGTCGGCATTGCTAAGTTTCATGGATGCCTTCAGAGGATATCATCAAATCTTCATGCACAAGGCCGACGAAGAGAAAACAACGTTCCTGACCCCGGATGGGGTGTATTGTTACCAAGTCATGCCATTCGGACTAAAAAATGCAGGAACCACGTATACGCGAATGGTCGCCTAGTTGTTCCAGGACCTATTGGGAAAATCTATGGTGGCCTACGTAGACGATATACTAGTAAAGAGTCGGGAGGAAATCAATCATGTCGGGGACTTGGCCGACTGCTTTCAGGTAATGCTTAAATACAATTTACGGCTTAATCCGAAAAATTGTGCTTTCGCCGTGCAAGGTGGGAAGTTCTTAGGGTATATGGTTACCAAGAGGGGCATCGAGCTCAACCCTGAGAAGGTACAGGCCATTATGGATATGCAGCCTCCCAACACCGTTAAAGACCTACAGCGGTTGACTGGTCGACTGGCTGCCCTGAGTTGCTTCCTAAGCAAGTCGGCGGACAAGACCGTGCCCTTTTTTGAGGTTATGAAGAGGAAGGAGGGTTTCGTGTGGACCGCCGAGTGCCAGCAATCATTCGAAGAGCTGAAAAAATACCTTTCTACACCTCCGGTACTGTCCACCCCTCAGGTTGGTGAGCCATTGTTTTTGTATTTAGCAACATCCCTTAGGGCGGTAAGTTCGGTGCTTATTCGAGAGGAGGAACGTACTCAGCACCCGGTATACTATGTAAGTCGTTCTTTGAAATCAGCTGAAATGCGATACACGCCCTTGGAGAAAATCGTTTACGCTTTGGTGATCACCGTGCGTCCGTGCGTAAACTGGCACCCTACTTCCAGGCCCACACCATTCGAGTCTTGACAGATCAACCCTTGGGTGGTGTGTTACAGAATCCCACATCATCCAGTCGGCTCGTGAAGTGGGCAGTAGAGCAGACCCAATACGGAATCGATTACTAGCCTCGCCCGTCAATCAAGGGACAGGCATTTGCCGACTTTTTGGTCGAGTGCACTGCAGGAGAAGACGACAAAGACGCCATCTTGGAGGATGGCCCCGGCGAATGGTGGGAGATGCACGTGGATGGAGCGACGAGTCGCCAACATTGCGGCGGCGGAGTCATGTTGATTACCCTAGAAGGGTTCAGGCTTTATTACGCCCTGAGCTATTTATTCCAGACATCTAACAATGAGGGCGAATATGAAGCTGTATTGGGAGGTCTACGACTCACCAAGACATTAGGGGTAGGATGCCTACGAATCAAGACTGACTCTCGTCTGGTGGTGGGACAAGTGTCCGGGACCTGCGAAGCTAAAAACGCCCGGATGGCTCAATATAAGGAGAAGACGGTAGAGCTACTGAAGGGATTTGGCGCCTACGAGATAGAGTATATCTCGCGAGCCGACAACACAGAAGCAGACATACTGTCGAAGATCGCTCTAGAAGGCGTGCTGGATCATCTTGTCAGAATCTGCCAAAAGGACGAACTGGTCCAACCTAGCATAGAGGAAGCGACCCTAGAGATCCAGCAAGTGACAACCAAAGAATGGGACCGAGTGAAGAACCCTGAGATGTTCTGGATATAAGATATTCGATGCTATAAAGAAAAGGGAGAACTGCCGGAGGACCCCGGAGTCGCCGCCCGGGTCCGCCGCAAGGCTCCGTCGTTCGAGATTATCGATGGACAATTGTACAAACGGTCGTTTGGGGGTCCCCTCCTCAAATGCTTACTCAGATCTGAGCCAGAGAAAATAATGGACGAGGCTCATCGTGGAATCTGCGCGGCCCACCAGGGCACCCACACTCTCACCCGGAAGCTGGTTGTTCAAGGCTACTATTGGCCCACTATGATGAGAGACTGCATCGAGTGGATAGCCAAATGCGGGATTTGCTAAGCATTCGCTCGAAAAGATACTCGGCCAGCTACTTTCTATATGCCAGTCACTACGGCCATCCCATTCGCGAAGTGGGGTATCGACCTGTTGGGTCCACTGCCAGTCGCCCCCAGACGTTTAAAGTTCTGTGTGGTAGCCATCGACTACTTCACTAAATGGATTGAGGCTGAACCACTAGCCACTATCACCGAGTATCAGTGCCGACGCTTCCTGTGGAAGAAAGTAATCTGCCGCTTTGGATTACCTAAGCATGTACTCAGCGATAACGGCCGACAGTTCGACAGCCAACCCATCGCCGATTTTTGCCTACGGCATAGTATACGCCACACTAAGGTGTCGGTCGCTTACCCCCAGGCCAACGGACAGGTCGAGAATGCAAACCATACAATCGTGGACGGAATCCGGAAAAAGTTGGAAGACATCGGATGAAACTGGACGGACGAGCTTGACCGAGTTCTATGGGCCTACCGAACTACTCAGAGGCAGGCGACCGGTGAAAGCCCGTTCTCCTTAGCGTATGGCTTCGAGGCTAAAGTTCCAGTAGAAGTCGTCGAGCCTACCCACCGAGTCCGCAATTACTCGGATGAAGGAAACGAGAAGGGCCTCAGGATTGAAAAGAACTTTTTAGAAGAGCGAAGGGAAGCCGCGCATGCCCGCTTGGTGGACTATCAGCAGGCTGTGAAGAGATATCGAGATCGGCAGATTCGCCCACGAACCTTTCAAGTAGGCGATCTCGTGCTGCGAGATCGACAGGCGTGTCAGCCCACGGAAGGAGGAAAGTTCGCGGTCAAGTGGGAAGGTCCTTATCGCAATGCCGCTGTGGTCCAAGCCAGCACATATAAACTAGAGACGTTGGAGGGGAAGCTCGTTGACCGAATCTGGAATGTAATCCACTTGAAGAAGTTCTATCAGTGAATTCAAGTTCTATCGGCAAAAGGTTCGCCACGTGTATTCACCTAAGGTTCGACTTTGAATAAAATACCATCACTTTCCGCATCTTGAAAACAGTTTCTAAGTAAGAAAAAGCCTAATGGGTTGCCTCGACTGAGGGACTCGGCGAGAAAAGATAGGAAACAAGGGCCCAGACCCTTAGATGTTTCCGAGGAAAAAACCTACAGGAGTCGCCTCGACTGAGGGACTCGGCGAGAAAGTAAAGAAACGACGGGGCACTGACCCTAAACAGTTTCTGAGAAAGAAAAAGCCTAAGGGGTCGCCTCGATTGAGGGACTCGGCGAGAAAAGATAGGAAACAAGGGCCCAGACCCTTAGACGTTTTCGAGAAAATGCCTACAGGAGTCGCCTCGACTGAGGGACTCGGCAAGAAAAGATAGGAAACAAGGGCCCAGACCCTTAGACGTCTCCGAGAAAAAGCCTACAGGAGTCTCCTCGACTGAGGGACTTCGCGAGAAAAGATAGGAAGCAAGGGCTCAAACCCTTAGACATTTTTCGAGGACAAACCTACAGGAGTTGCCTCAATTAAGGGACTCGGCGAATGAAAAGACAAGTGCACTAGGATTCGCCTTGATATAAGGGTTCAACAGAGGCAGTCACAATGCATGAACAAGAATCACATAAGTAGAAGAAAGATGCAAGAAGAACTTTAAGGAGTTTTCCATTAAAAGGTCCGAAGGGGAGACCAACCCTTACAAAAAGATTATTAAAAAGCCCTAGACTATGGGGGAGGGGGTGTCGACAGCGACTTCCTCGATTCGTTCTTCCGCCGATGTTCCAGCTGGGGGAGCGAGTGAAGGGTCTTCCACTAGAGGAGGTGGTTCAGCCGTTACCGTTGGGTTCGCCATAGGAAGAGCCATTGGATCAGCGGTCATCGCGGGTGCATCAGCAGCCAGCAGGGGATCAAGCACCGGCTTAAGACCCCAGCTCTCCGGAGTGAAGGTCGAGTCGCAAGATAGTAGGAGGGCATGGATTTCCAGCTGTGCTTCACGATAGCCCAGACGATAATCACGCTCGCCCAGATCCAGCAGGTATTCATCTGCTTCTGGAGTGGCCAACCACTCCTTTGCCACCTCCTCCTGCCGACTTGTCACCGCCAACTTCACGTCTGCCTTGAAGGCAGCCGACTTCTTGTAGTCGGCGATCGAGGTAATGGCGATGGTCGTCACCTTGTCTCGCTCTTCCTCCCACTGGCGGGTGACCCTCAGCAGCTCGGTGGTGTGGACCTCCCTCGCCTTGGTGTAAACCGCCTGTTCCTCCAAGCGAGCCTCCTCTGACTGGCGTAGACGAGTGGCGAGAAAGTGCATTGTGGTCTTAAGCTCCCGCATCCGTTTCCTCAGCTCTAGCTGGAAGGTGAGGTTCTGGGAAGAAGGAAGACACGTTAGCAATAGTTGGGAGAGAGGAAATCAAATAGCAGGTCTGGGATACTTACGCGGTAAGACTGCCGTAGGGAGGCCTCCAGGATGTACTCGTCTTGCATCTGGCTCGCCGCTTCCAAGTCCTTAGGAAGAAGGACATGCTCGGCCCAGTTTTTGACTGAGTAGTTGCCCTGCCAGATCTGGGCATTCTCTTCGAGTTCCAGGCCCAGTCGGATCTTCTTTAGAGGCGGCGTGTTCGATTGCTCCAATGGTCGCTTGGAGCTTGGGCTCTCTTTCAGAGCCGGAGGCAGAAACCTGGAGGGAGAGGCAACAAGAGACGGTGTCAGGTCCACCACATTACCCGGTGGAGTTGGAGTCGCCCGGGGAACCGGAGAAGGGAGCGAGGAGGAAGCTGCTTGTGCGCCTGACGACCGTTGTGACAGTCGACGTCTCATCTTTTCGGCACGGTCGGCCATGACGGGCGTTGGAGCTTCGGCTTCGTCCGAGCTGGTGGAGTCAGAATCGTAAGGACCTGCACAGATCCGAGGGGTTAGCAGAAAGCGAGAAATAAAAGCAGAGAAAGAGAGGGAGTTGCGAAAGGCTACCTAGGGTGGCCGCCCCAGTCGACAGAAGACCCCATTTCGCCATGGCCCGTACCTGGGACCAACGTTTGACGGAATAGGGCCCCATGCTCTTCAAGAACTTGGCGCCCTGGATCGCGTCCTGAGTGAAGACGGCACGCCGGGAGCAGGGTTTGAAGAGAGCAGCCGGCCACATGGTGGGAAAGGTAAAGGTAGAGAAGGAAGGACGAACGAAGAAGAAATAGGGCTTCCAGTCCTTTATGGAATCTGGAAGACCCTCGAAAAGTTGACGCCTGGGTCGGGCAGAGACTTAGATAAATCCGGGAGAATGCGACCCGACCTTGTTCACCGAGAACAGGCACCTAAAGAGATCTAGGTCGGGTTCGCAATATCACCAGTGACACAAGGTGATGAAGCAAACGAGAAGGCGGTGTGAATTGGGTACGAGTTAACCCGGGACCAAATTGTAATGACAGAAGACGAGAGAGTAAAAGGGAGAAGGTGGCACTCGGAAACCAAAGGCCAACGAGTGTAAGTGAATGCCTTTGCAATTTTCTGGCGGGTCAAAAATCGACCGGCTTTCCGGCGGAAGTACGGTGGCCGAAGGGCCAAGAAGAAAGCAGGCCATCTCAAGGTCCGCCTCAGTAACAAGCGACGGAGATCCCGCCGGCTGGGAAATGGGGTCAAACTTACCCCTCGACCGTTGAGAACTGTCGGGAAGAGCCGTCACCGTCGTGAGAGGGGCCGGGCTCAGAGGAGTAACCGCCCCTGAAGAAGAGGGGGCTGGCCGAGATGAAGAGGCCGATGGAGGACCAGACGGGAACTCCATACGGCGAGGCGAAGAGGAGGAAGACGAAGTCGAGGAGGAAGAGGAAGAAGAGGAAGAAGAAGAAGGATCCGCCGAGCAGCGAGAAGAAGAAGAAGAAGGGGAAGACATGAGCACCAACCTGGAAAGGCTCCGGCGAAGGTAGAAGGAGAAGGTGACTGAGTTTAATTCAGAGGTCTTTTGCAAAATTTTGGGGTGGAATGCGTAAAAGAGGGAAGAAAGTGTATTTAAGCTTGGGAGAATCCCAAGGGGTTGCCACGTGTTGATCGCCTGTTGGAGGATAGAAAGAGTCGATGGAATGTGATGAGACGGCTGCAATTAATGCCCCCGATAAGCGAAACGACGGTTGAGGCCTAGGGTTGGCCTAAGACGGCGCGTCTGGCCTAGGCCTAGGACGAGTAGAAATGACCTGGCCTATTGACATAAGGCCTATTGTAGGCCACGGCCTCTGCGCTGCCTGGGTACGGGTCGAAGGTATCTCAAGAAGGATAACTAGACCAGGCCCATCGGTCGGTATAAGTAGCTCCGGATGAGCAAGGCCGAGACCATTGGTCGAGTCAGGAGTCGACGTCGACCTCATGTTGAACAAGTAAAAGACGAAAGAACGACAGTTTATTAATCATAAAGGGATAAGGGCCTACATCTTGGCCAAAGTTACAAGACAAAAGAAAAGATAGGTCACGGATCAGTCTTCTCTTCTGCTGGGCGAGTAGGAGGTGGGTCTTCCAGGAAGAGCTGAGGACGGAAGGGCGGAGGAGTCGGCTCTGACACCGGCATATCATCCAAGTAGACGGCAGGCTTCCCGTCATCAATTATTTGGAGGGGCCTTTCAAGGGCGCTAGGAGACATGGCCACCCCAAAAAGAGGAGGAACTTCCCATCCAGCGCTGGTTCTTCCATTACGGGCTCCACTCGGCGTTCGGTCGGATCTGTGGGAACCAAGTCCAGCATATCCGGTGGCACCACGATGGGATCAGAGGTCGAGTCGCCCACCATATGTCTACCATTGGCTAGCCTCTGAAGCCTTAGCTTCTCCAGACGAGCATGCTCCTTGTTGCGAATGGAAAAGCGACGATCGCCAATTTGATAGCTCATGATCGGAGTTGTTGGAGTGAAGAATGGTATGAAACACGAGCGAAAAGAAGCCCCTTATATAGCCAAAGGGGGGCGAATATCAAGGCGAAAATCACGGGGAGAATCATAACTGCCATCTTGTGGCAGGATTAGACGGAATTCAGGAATCTTTGTCAGAGAACGATTCCATCAACTTCGCTTGGGAAGAGGGA